AGAGAGAGAGAGAGAGAGAGAGGGAGAGAGACTGGCCCTTCACAGCTGCCCTCCTATATATCATGCCCAACTATAGAGACACCTTCTGAGTCTGGCATCGCTGCCACTTCTGATTTCAGCTTCAGCTGCAACACAGCTTGTGGGCTCAGACTTGCCTTGGCAGGCAGGGCATGACCTCAAGAGGGCGCAGTGTGCCTTTCTGCTTCGAGCCTCCTGGCCTGTGTGCAGCCTGAAAACGCAGGGAAGTTGATGCCCTCAGAGGTAGCCCCAACCAATCGGGGGTAGAGGCTGCCTTCCATTCGTCAGGGGACAGTGCTAGGAGGTACTCTGTACAAGGAGCGTCTCCGAGGACCTGGCAGGATTGAGCACAACACTGAAAACACCCCTGTTTGCCGGCCTTTCCTCCTTTCCTGGCTCACTCGTCCTGTTCCTTCACTCCTGCTTCTTGGGGTCAACCCCCCTCCCCCAATAACACCACCTGTGTCCAAACCGTGATCACAGACTAGCAATCTGATATCAGTTTAAGACTTTCTCATCTGGAACTATTAAAAACTCATGTCTGTTATGAGGCTTGGAGCCACAGACTTTCTGAGAAACCCCAAGACAGGCTCTCACATTCAGCAAATCTATCCTGCTGGCCACCTGTCCCCTCTCCCTCTGGGCCACCTCCCCAGTGTCTTCATTCCTCGGGGCTGCTCTGTCTCGAGGCCGCTTCACCCAGGAATAGAGACCCCCATTTCCTGGTTCCTGGAAGCGTGGTTTCTGCCCAGATGCGGTGCTTAATGAAAGGTTTCAGAGGGCTCGAGGCCCTTAGGAGGGAATTAGATTGCAGAAAACATGCATCTACACGTATGAAGGACTCCCGTGAGGTCCTCCTGCCCTTACTGACCGTCTTTCTCAGCACAGGTCCTGGGAGCCAGCGCACTGCAGCACGGGGGCCCCTCTCCCTCGGAGGGGAGGCCCTGTAACTCCCCACTCTGTCTAGGAGCCTGGAGGGGAGGAGGATCCCCCCTCCCCAGCTGAAAACCACCACCGTTCCTCTCCCTGGGTGGTGAGGGTGGTCGAAGGCAGCAGCCATCTTCAGGGGTGAGTCCTGCATTACCCCTCATGGCCTGGGCAAGACCATCCCACGAGTCCCCACATTTTCCCCTAAACCTGGCCATTCCACCCCAGATAAGGTCGGGCAGTGGGCACCAAGCCACGTTTGGTTTCCTCTTCAGCCCCTCCCTCGGCCTGAGGGAGGGGAAGGTCCTGCTCACCCTTGATGTGAGTGGGGGAAGGGGCTGCTGGGTGGCAACGCTTTCTGATCTTGTCATCTGTTGGGAGCAAATACCTAAAAGTAAAAGAGCCAACAAGTCCTCTTTGTTCATATTTGGGGGAAAACCATCAATCCGCCGGGGCAGGGTCTTGCTAAGAGGTATCATTTGTGGTGACATCTGTCAGCCTGGCGCATCTGTGTTTGGGGTTCTTCACTGGTTCACCCCAAGAACACGGGTGGGGACTTGCCTGCCAGCTGTAAGGTTAAATGGCCAGGTGCTCCCTCTTCGAGCCGAGAGTGTGTTTGGCCCCAGAGAAACGCCAGCTGCAGCCTCCTCGGCTCACAAAATCTGCTGCTGGCCCTCCAATGGTGGAGGTCACACTGGGTGACACACCTTCCACCTCTGAAACCACTCACAAACCCGAGTCACTGGCCCGTGTCTTGTTTGTAAAGTGGAGAAGCTGCCTGTTGCCAAGCACTCGCGGGGTTTGGTCTGGGTGCCTTGGGGGTGGCTGGGGAACAGCTGGCAACCCTCACATAGGTAGGAGTTCAGACAGAGGGCCAGTGATGGCCAGGGAGGGGGTTGCACCTGGAAAGTGCTGGGTGCTCATGTACAGGCAAAGAGATAACACTTTCCCAGACAGCTCCCCCATCATGGCAGCAATGCTGGTGCCCAGGGCAGGGGCTGCAAAGTCTCCAACATCACAGAGGTCAGCAAAAAGGTTAAGTAAGACTGATGAGAAGTAAGGCGTTTGGGGTCACCTGGAGAGCCCTGGCACCCTCCAAAACTCACTTTATGAGAGATGCTTTATGAGAAGCCAGAGGCTCAGATGTTTATGTGAAACTTGCTGATTTGTAAGGCGGTGGGCGGGTCAAATAAGACCCTGAGGGCTCGAGTTGGCCCACAAGGTGCGGGTGGGTGACTCCCTGTAACAGGGGCAACTCCTCCCACCAGCCATCCTGACATCTGGCTGGGCGATGCCATCCTTGCTTTAATGACCCTCAGGCACCTTCCTGAGTGATCACGAATGATTAGGGCCTGTCCCTGGTGTGAGAGAATGGGCAGGCCCCTCAGGAGTGGTGAAGCCGTGCAAATATTTGTGTTTCACCAGGATGCAATCGGCACAAACCGGATCAGCGAAACCTGAGAAAGCCCGAGGCCGAGGAGGAGAAAGCAAGGTGTCCCTGTGGCTCCTTAAGCAACTAGCTTTGATGCCCTGGCAGCTGCTGGATTCCAAAGGCAATTCCAGGAGTTTTGACTTGGAATCAGTCTCTTAAGACACACTTAAAGGTATCTGTGGCAGAGAAGGGAAAACCCAGTATGGGTGGGTGGTGATGGGGTGGGACAGGGACTTGTTTGTTATTTCTGTCCCCAACTATGTGCAGCGTTGTTTCCTAGAAGGAGATCAACGTCTTTGTGTGGGTCCAAGGGCTAAACCCAGGGACAGCAGGTAGAAGCTGTCGGGAGACAACTTGACCTAAAGGGCTGCCTAACTATCAGACAGATGTAAAGGTGGAGTCAGTTGCCTTTCAAAGGAGTGAGCACCCCATCATGGGAGGCATTCAAGCACATGTTGTGAAATGGCTACTCTTTGGGGACAGAGTGGCGAGAGGGGCTGCTTTAGATCATCTCTGGAGTCTCCTCTGTCCAAAAAATTTTCTGATTTATCTTATTATCACAGCTTGTGATGTTCAATTGACTGGTTTTTATTGGGGTGGGGGGGTCTTGTTTTTGTGGGGGGTTTTTAATAAAGAAAATATGCAGAAACTTCAGAATTCTCTGTCGGCTCTAGAAATGGGACTTGGAGCTCTCAGCACAGGAAACATGATGAGTGGAAGGTAACCCAGCATCCTGGTACTTTAGGGGTGAAGGAAGCGGTGCGTCCTTGACATTGGCTTAATTTGTGGCTGCCCAGAAGAGTTCAAGTCCAAGCCACGCTTCTGAGAAACAAGCAGGTGAATGGGCAGATAGGACACGGGAGCCTGGAATCAATAAGAACTCAAATGGCTGAGTCACTGAGCTAATTTCAAAGTCTGACGGTAAGAGAAAAGGAGGAAAAAAAACCCCCAGACAATTGGAAAGTAATGAAGGCTTTGCCAAGATCCCAGGTGACCGAAACAACAGGAGAAGCCGGGAAAATGTAATTACACACTGATGTGTGAGTCCTCTCAGCAGCCGGACTATCCTGCCCTGGCCTCCCCGTCTCATTTCATTCCTGCCTGGTCGATGGCAGCCCCCAACCCCAGGTCACAATTAGACAGGCAGCGGGCTCACCATTTGCTCAAAGCAGCCTCCTTCACTCCCAGTTATAGTGCCAATAAGTCTGCCACGTGTCTCTCCCTCTCCGTAAGGACATAGAATGTCAGAACACAGCTGAACATGGGAAGCATCTTGCCCATTTCACAGACGGGAAGGCTGAGGCCCAAAGAGTGATTGCTGCGCTGAGTGCAAAGGGGGAGACTGACGTGTGCAAGAGTTAATCCATTTTCTCTCCTGAGCTAACAGAAAAAGAAGCTCATACTGCTAAAGTCAGAGCTGCTGCTTCTGCTTTAAATACACCTTCTTGGGGCGCTAATACGAGGCATTTCCTCAACTCAATAACTGGCTTTTCAGGGATAGAGATTTCTCCTATCCCACACACTAAAAGTCACCTTTTCTGTGGACTGGGTGAAGTTTGGGGATGTACTTAGGAGCAGTGAAAAATCTGTGTTCTGCCCCATTCTCAGACCCATCCAGAGAGCAGGCCCGCTTCTGGGCGGTTCAGGGGCTGGCAGCCTTTGAAGCTGATCCAATTTGTCTGACTTTGAAAGACAAAGAGAGGCCCCAAGATGGTTTCCCAGCAGGACTGGGCAAGTCAGGCAGTTTTCTGAGCCAGGGCAGTCATATCCGTAAAGAACTAGCGAAAGCATGTCCGTACTCTACGGATTTCTTTATATTTTTTTCAGAATCAGACAGTGTCCCCAGACTGCTCTTACAGGGTGCTTCACCATCCTCACACCCACCGTTTGCTTTTCCGCCCACCCTCCTCCTCTTCCTGTCTGGGAGGGAGGCCTCTGCCCTTTTTTCTCACGGCCCTCTCACCATTCCCAGGGCCCCCAGAACCTCCTAACCAGCTCTCTGCTCCACCTCAGCCCGCAACCTGCACACAGCAGTAAGACAGACCATTTATCTATATACAATTTCTGTAGTGCTGCTCTCTGTATAGAGCCGTCAAAGGCTGTTGAGTAAGCGCCATCCTCCTCAAAGTGGCCAGAAGGCACCTTAAAATCAGGCCCCTGTCCACCTCTTCAACTCCCTCCCCCACCAGCCGCACCCTCTGCCCGACTCACCCCTCCCTGCCCTCTGCAGGGCTGCAGTCCTGCTCACCTCTGCTCTCTCACCTTGGAAGGCCTCAGGCAGGGCCTCCCTGAGCACCGGCCCAGGGCCCTTCGAGGCTTTCTGAGTTAACCCATGGCTCTGGTATTGTCTCCAAGCCCTTGTCAATATCCATTGCAATCTTATTTCCATGCTTGTTTGTTTCTAGACTCTCCTCGCGGCTGGAGTTGAAGCAGGGGCCTTATCTGTCTTGTTTACCACCACAGCCCTGGTTCTAGAACTGCTCCTGACACATAACCATCGCTCAGAAAATACTCGTGGGGAGGAAAGGAGGGAGGCAGGAAGGATGGAAGGAAGGAAAAACAAAGGATGGACGGAGGAAAACTCTGTACCTACATATTCTAGCTGGTTGTTAGCCTAAAGAGGGTAAGAGTTAAAACGGTTAACTAGGGGCTTTCGGGCATCAGTAGCAGTAATATCAGGGGCAGGTTGGGAGGGTTGGGGAGCCCCCAAGTCCCCCCTCCCAGGCAGCCAGCTATGTCATGTCACCCCAGTGTAGTTCAGACAGGAGCTGGTGGGTGGAGGGTGGGGCCAAGGAAGCGCCAGTGTGAGGCGCTGGACGAGCTGGAGGAGGCGAGAAGCCCGTGTCCTCACAGGTTGGCAGGACCGGCCCTGCCTGGGAGAGTCTTGATAGCAGCCTCTGCCATTCTATGAACTGCCTCGGGACGAGCATTGCCCCCAAACAACCTGGACTTAATGAAAGGGTTGGTGCAGTGCAGATATTTAGACCTGGGAGGGGAGTAATTTCTCCCCTTCAGCTCACGAGCTCCCTGGAGACAGGACCCAGGTCTTCGGAGGTTGTGCAAATGCAGCACATCCGCTCAAGAACTGGCATAGGTTGGCACTCCACACACAGCTGTGCAGTGACAGATGGCGGCCTGGGAGGGAGGGGTGAGGCTGTATCCAGGGAGGGGAGGGGGGATGGTGCTGGCCTGCCTCCCGTGTTCCAGAGGGCAGGACTCACACAGGTGGACACAAGCTACCCATCCGCAGACAAATCTTTTCTAAACAAGGATGCAGACACTGGACAGCCTGCCGGGGGATGGAGGGGCCTTCCCACACTGCGGGGGTTGGGGGGAGCAACAGGGCTCAGGTATTGTGGGGGGATAATGAGAACGGTGGTTGGGGGTCCCTACCAAACCTGGGGCTCTATGATGCTCAGATGAGCTCCATTTTCTGCTAATGCTCAAGTGGCCTCAGAGCCATCCGGGGAGTGCTCAGCTCAGCAGAGAAAAGTCAGGTCCCTGGGGCTTTTACTTATAACTTTGTTTGCAGATAGCGAGCCTTTTCCGTCCGGCTCCTCATCCTGGTCCTTTCTGCCTGTAACAATCACATTATTTAATTTAAACGAGTGAAGTTACCTTAGATCAATTATACTTATTTTTCCTGGGTAATTTCCAAAGCTTAATATCTCCATTCAGGCCCAGCCTGGGGGACAGGTTGTCTAGCAGAGTCCTAAACGATTTCAGCCCTTAATTCAATTGTACTTTTACCACAGCCCAGGCAGCGAGCATAATTCTTTTATCCCTAAGATGTCTCATTAGCAATAATCTAATAGCACATATTAAAATATAGGTCACCGAGGTGGGTTGCCAAGTGGAAGACTTGTCATAACTTTGAAGGCTGGACAGCTGTCTCGTGCCCCCAACAGCATGACGCCCCAATCCCAGGCTTAATTCTAAAACAATCAACTCAACAGAAACAGTTTACTTTCTGCAGTTCAAGGTTAAGGACTTACCCTGGCTAGGAAGTAGAGTTGATAGTTGGGGCTGTGGGGAGTGGTGGAGGGTGCCGTTTCTTGCCAACATGACATCGTGGAAAAGATCTCTGGCCTCAGACATTTGGGGCTGAGGCCCTGGTCCCAAGAACTTGCAGAGTGATCTGGGGGTGCGGCTCTTAGAGACTGTCTCTGGCCTCAGTTTTCACACCTATAAAAGGGGGAAGTAGTGGAGTTAGACCCATTGTTTCCTAAATTCTGGCGCTCCCAGTTCAACTTGTCTTAGTATAAACTTGACCTTTCCTTTAAATCAACTCACTCATCTTAATTAAATACATTTGTTTTATAAAGGAAGCTCAAGTATCAACATGGAAAAATCTCAAGAACGTTTGCGGAAAGATTTATGCGGAATGATACCATGTGTATAAACTTTAAACATGCACGAAACGATACTTCCTATTGTTTACAGGCAAAGTGAATCTACGTCATAGAGGTCAAGACAGTGGCTACCTTTGGGGACGAGGGAGGAGATGATGACTGGGAGGAGGTACAGGGGGACTTCTGGGGGGCTGGTCATTTTTTTAATGGCCTGGGTGGTGTTTTTAATGGCCTGGGTGTATTTACTATGGAAAAAGAGCACTTATAATCAGTACACTTCTCTGTGTGTGTTAAGCCTTTTAAATACACACACACATATAATTTTAGGAATAGTATATATCTCCTATCTATCTATCTATCTATCTATCTATCTATCTAGTGGAAACAGACATACATGCTTGGGAATAATCAACACTGCATAGGACGCTGTCTGGCCAGAGGAGGTGGGAGGAAGAGGAACATATCTGAGGAGATACACAGGACATCAACCATATTTCTAATGTTTGAGTTTCTGAAGCCAGCTAGTTGTTACAGGATTGTCTATATTTTTATGTAAGTCTGAAATACCCCATACATTTTAAATCATAAAGGTAGAAGTAATAAATCATGGAAGTATCCTTTATATCACATGCCATAAATAGATGGTACGTGTAAAAACGAATGCAATGGGAAGAAAACGCTGTTGTGCAATTGTCTTTGATGATTATTTGGGCTGAAGACGCTGCCCCCCCAGCCCGGCTTCCTTCTGTTGAAATGGAGATCAGTAAATGAGAGAGAGGCACCCCAGACAGCTTAGCCCAGACGAAGACATGAGCTTTCGGTAATCAGGGTTAAAAGGCCACGGAAATAAGGCTCAAGCTTCCTCCGTATATGAATCAAGGAGGACCTGCGTGACCCTAAACCATCGGCCACCTCATCGACCGGCTGGGCTGCTCCACTTCAGGAAAGGGCGTCAAGGTCCCTCCCGGGCTGACTCTCCTGGCTCCTGGGTGGTTTGGGGTGTGTGCAGACATCTTATTAGGAGAGGGAAGGGCGGCAGGGGGAACGAAAGAGGTGGAGTTATTATTAGCAAAATCATTAGCAATTATTAGCAGAATTGGAAAGCCTTGAGGAAAAGCCCCGTTTTCTCCTGTGACCCCTTCCCCAGCCTCGTGACTGCCTGGGAAAGTGTCAGGCACACAGTCCCCTCTGTGTGATTTGTTCTCACGCTGAGGCTCCAGCAGGAGGCCTCTGGGAGCGGGGCACTCACGCCTGGGAGGGCGGCCTGTCCCACCCCGACACAGCCCCGCTGTGCTCCATCAGCCGGGCCCTGATGCCCCGCAGTGTGTCCTGATGGGCTCTAGTCCTGCTCCCGCTCTTGGGCCACACAGAATGTAACTGTGACCTCCCCTCTCTGACCACATGTACCCCGTGGGGCCAGTAGGTCTGCCCCTCAGCCTTCATCTAAGGCCACGAGTTTCTCACCACTGCCTCTCCTCACGCTCGCTGGCACACGTGCACATAGAAATGTGTGTTATATTGTGGAGGGTGGGGCCGAGTGCCTAGACTGACTTCCGCTCAACAGCCCCCATCTATTCATGGGCAGAGTGAACCAGCTTTCCGCTCTCCCCACCGGACAAGCGGTGCCTTGGAGGGTTAACGTATGCACTTCTGTGTCCCTTGGAACAAGCAGGGATGGCCTGATGATGACCTCTCTTCAACTCTGTCATCACCCAGAGTCCTACCTGGCCGGGACCCGTTTCTCCCAGGACCTCGAAGTCCTCCCAGCCGCCTCATCTCAGTTTCCCTATCCCATGTGTCCTTCCTTCAGGAGGTGACCAGACCACCGGTCTCATAAACACTCCACAGAGAGGGTGTGGGGTGTGGGAAGAGCCCTGGACGGTGCCAGGAGCCAGGAACTGAGTTCTGGTTCTGCCACCAAGCTGTGGGACTTTGAGGGTGAGGCACGGAGGCAGCGGGGGATGGGTTCTCCTTGTGGGGAAGGGAAAGGAACATGCTATAGCACTAAGGGGCAGGGGGTGCCATCAGATGGAGAAGACCTGGACAGGTGGGCAGGTCAGAGGGAGGGAGAAGAGGGAAGAAAAAGAGAAGAGAAACAAGATGGCGTTGGGGCAGGGCCTGGAGGTGATGCGTGGGGTGGGCGGGGTGGGAGGAGGGGAGCCTTGGGGAAGGTAAGACTCCGGCTCTGAGGAGCAAGGGCCAGAGAAGGTGGTGGCTACAAACAGACAATGCTGGGGTTCAGAAATGCATCAGCCACAGCCTCAAGCACCCCAGCCCAAAAGGGTGAGGGGCCCTGATGACAATGGGGAGCTAGAGTGTGTAGGGAGGAGGTGCGACGGTGAGGAGGTGAGGAAGTAAGGAGGACGAAAAGGGTGGGGGACCACATAGGGAGCCACTGAGCCATTGGGATAGAGCAGTGGTTGAGAGCATGCACCCCGGAGCCAGCCTAGATCTAGGTTCAAATCCCACCCTCTGACCCATCATAGCCGTGAGACCCTGAGCAAAACATTTAACCACTTTCAGCGTTAATTCGTTAATCTGTAAAATGGGGACATAATATATGACATACTATGGTGCCTGGAACAAGTAAATGCTCAGTGAGTGGAAAGACTGCCATATATATAGCAAATATCAGTGGTGTGCTTAGTAGGTGCCAAACCCTGCTGGAGCACTTCACAGTCATGATGCATTTAAGCCTTACAACAACCCTAGGAGATGAGCCCCATTGTACAGAAGAGAAAACGGAGGCACACATCGGCCCAAGACAGTAACTGGCAGACCCAGGATTTGAAGCCCCAAGCAGTCAGCATGGAAGTTAAGTGCCCCTATATAGGCCTGCTCCTCACATTAAGGAACCCAGGGGTCAGGGGTCTCCTAAGAAATTAGAAGGGGAGGGTGATGGTGGTTACCATAAAGAAGGGCAGAAAATCACTACCCTGAGCCCTGCTCCCTAGTTCCCTGCCCTAAGACGACTCAGCTTTCGTCCTGGGGCCGAGAGTATGTAAGCAGGAAGAGGCAGCGATCTCTGTGTGCGGCCCACAGAGTGTGGACTACTGCCTGCCTCTGCATCACACAGCAGCTTATTAGGTCCAGGCTCCTGGGCGTGAGGGCAGAGCAGGACCAGCTCCAGCTGGGGGTAGAATCTCCCAGCCCTCAGCCTCACTGTGGGCAGGCCTGTTCTGAGGCCTCATGACGATCACGCTGATAAAGGTGCTGTTCCCACCTCCAAACGCACCTGCTCTGGGGGTTTACAGCCGCTCCTGGTACTTCCAGGACTGTCCTGCAGACAGCGAGCACGAAGCCGCTTTTCTCCCTTCCGTGCCCTAGAGGGCGCCCGTTCACACTTCCCAGGGGAAAGACAGCTCAGCCCGGGAAGGGCTGTGTGATTTTTGCTAAGAGCAGGCAGAGCAAAGCGGAAGAAGCATCAGCGCTCAGGTCGGGCAAAGAGAGTGTAAACCGCTCCGGCCACTCTCAACCTGCAACTGTGGTTATGAAGCATAAGTCACTGATACTGGGATTATTTTGTTTAAACAGGAATTAGACATGCCGCATGTATGCAGATTCCTGATTCTCACTGCAGATCCACTGAATCCAGACTTCTGGGGTGGGGCCCAGGAATCTGCACTTTTACCACTCTGCTAGACTGGCATGAGCTGGGAAAGTCTGGAAGAGGCAAAACGACTCTAGGAAGAAACAGTGACCTTCAAGGACATGACTGCCACTGGCATCACAGAGCTTTGATAAATGGGTCCCTTCTGATTGTGTTCCCAAGTCTTTCCCACTGATCATCTTAACTGGTATATTATCCCTGTTTTACAGGTGGGAAAACTGAGGCTCAGAAGCCAAAGGTCATCTAGCAGGCAAATGGGAAAACCAAGCTTGGAACCCAGTTTTGTTTTGTTTTTTAACTCCAAAGGCCTTACTCATAACTGTTATAACAACCCATATTAGCTATTTTATTCCAGTTTTGGGATTTGAAATTAGATAAACCTAAGTGAAAATTCTGGAGAAGGTCCTGCTTCCCACAGACATGGAGAAATTAAACTTTTTGAAACAACAACAAGAAGTAACACATATGCTATACCAGACACTGTTCTAAGAGTTTTACATGTTTTAATTCATTTGATCCTCTCAACAATTCTATGAAGTAGGTACTGTTATCATTACCATCCTACCCACTTTACAGATGAGGAAACCAAGATACAGAGAAGGAGGAGAAGTAGGAGAACTCGGCCAAGATTTCACAGCCAGTAAAGTGTGCAGCCGGGATAAAAGTTCAGGCAGTGTGGCTCCTAAGTTCGTGCTTTTAGCCCCTCTGCCATCTACCCCACTCTCTCCAGGCTGCAGGACAAGCTGAGCTGGGTAAGCCCCCTAGGAATAGATGTCCAAGGGCCAGTGAGACAAGCGGGCAGGGGTGGGCAGCTGTAAGCATCACTGGGGTCATATTTATTACTGGCGAAGCCATTGGGAAGTGTTTCTTGAGGAAAAAAAAAAGAGAGAAATGTAGTCATTTTAAGGAATTCTGAAATGGATTTCATACAGGAATCTGCAAATCCCCTAAAACCATATTTAAAACGAAATGTACCTTGAAGATGACAAATACCATGGATATATGTACTGTATTCATGAATAAGAAGCTTGAATACTGTAAAATATCAATTCTTCCCAAATTGATCTATAGATGCAATGCAATGATAGTTGAAATTCCACAGGGATTTTTCATGGAACTCAGCAAGCAAGTGTTAAAATTTGTAGGGAAGAACATTGCTAAGACATTTCCAAAGAAAAAAAACTGCAGTGTCTTGCCTGAAAAGATAGGAAAACTTATTAGAAAGCAATGTTTGTTTGTTTGTTTGTTTTCCTAGGCTTATTGAGGTATAATCGACAAATAAAATTACACATATTAAAGTGTATGACATGATGATATGACATACATATACATTGTGATATGATTACCATAATTGAGTTGATTAACCCATCTATCACCTCACATAGTTACGTGTGTGTATATGTGTGTGTGTGTGTGTGTGTGTGTGTGTGTATGGGAAGGGATATGCTGAAGGAGGGGCACACAGGGTCTTGTAGGGGGTTGGAAATTGCTCTTTTCCTTATTCTGGGGAGGGTGCTCTTGTAAGTTCTTATTGTTAATATTATTTAAACTGTAAACTGTTCATACATGTCTTATATACTTTCTCTGATATATGGTAAATTTTGCACTGAATTTAAAAATGCTGTGTGTATGTGCATATTTCTGGGAGAGTCCACATGTCATCAGATTATCTCAGGAGTGTTTGGTCTTCAAACAGAGCCCAATGGGGCATAAAGTTTTCTGAGGTCCCATCCTGTTCTGATATTCCCTTTGTACCAGCCTGATTATGGCCCATCCAGGTGGCCAGCTGATCACAAACCCCTCTGCCCTGGAGAGGAATGCGAAGCCAGCGTGAGTCCCCTGTCACCATAACTCACGTGACCACCTTAGCACCCCTGCCCCTGCCTGACCCACAGTGTCATGGGACCCCAGGCTTGACTAGGGTGCATTAGCAAGTCCATAAAGGATGTATTTACTCCTTTTGTGAGACAGGATGACCTTGCAGTGTTGGTTGCGAGGAACTGTTAGAAGGAAAAGACCATCACCTGGAGTGAGACAGTCAAGGAGGAGCAGGTGTGTGGGTGGGTCAGCAAGGGGAGGTCAGAACTCCTGTTTGGGACATCACGAGCCCCAGGTGCCTGTTAAGACCCATGTAGCTGGATCCGGCAGAGACTGTACACACGAATGTCAACGCTAGACTGACGCTTTTTAAACCTGAGGCCTGACCTTTAGGAAACAAACTCAGATTCTACCCCTTTCTCTCTCCAATGGCTCCCATCTCATTCAGAATAGAGTCTGAGTCCTTTCACAGCTGAGATAGATGAAAGAGTAAATGTGTCCTCCTGTGGACTCGACAACGCAAGCCCAGCCCAGCCTCACGACCCCCGTGGGATAGTTCAGTGAGGAGCTCAGTAGAGGAGAATCTAGACTCTTCTGAGCCACGTCTGAGTGGGCTAGGAGCCTTGAGGAGCCCCTGGGAGCATTAGTGGGAGGAGACTGATTTTAGCTCATGGGGGTCTTTTATTGAGGATATTCTTATGCTATTTGTAAGTGCAGTATAATTTTTACCAGTGACTAATGGCCCCAGGGCAGGTGAGCTGCAAAGGTATACAGGTCTATTGCCCCCTGACCCCCAAACAAACAAGTGAAAACCAAGAAAAAGAAGGAAAGGAAGGACACAAATATACAAGCGAAACTCTCCTTCTGGCTTTAGTTCCCCCATCAGTGTAATGGAGGGGCAGTTTCTGAGCATATCCTCAGGACACTTCCAGAACCCAGCCCCTTGGGTTCCAAATGTCCTGTAGTCCAGCCTTTGTGTGTCTGGGTCTTGGCGTCTATGAGGAGATGGACAGAGCTGTACTGAGAGCACCGGCCATCACCTTGTGCCCATGGCCTGTGTCACCGAATGCCATGGTAAATGGAAGTGACGCCTCGCCAGAGATCATGTTAGCTCTGATAAGGCTCCAGCCACCTGCCCACCCACTTGCCCTCAGGCCACCTGGAGGGGCAGGACACAGGGCACAGAGAGAAGCCACATGGCCCTATGGCCCTTGCAGCTGTGGTCAGGGAATCTGGACCAGAGATGGAGAGGGACACCTTCCTCTCTGCCCAGCCCCAGCCTGGTGCCCTTACTGTTATCCCCCAGACGCCTCTGAGCCCACAGGGTGGAACTCTAGTGAACTGCTGATTGGCCGTCTGATGGTGTGTATGGGTGTGTCATGGCAGTGGGGGGAATGCCTTCCTCCATCCCCATAAAAAACAGTTCCAGCGCCCCGGCCACACCCCTCATTATTCACTGTTTCTGCCAACACAGACCTGACCCATCAGCTCCCCACGGCCAGTACCTGGGGCTCTGCTGGGAGCCTTTTTGTGGTGACAGGAGTGTCCACACACCAGGCAGGCTGGAAACACCAGCAGGTTAGCGCCCTGGGAGCAACCTGAGTGGGTAAATACTCCAGCTTCCTTGCCCGGAAGTGGGACAAGCGAAGCATTGTCAATGCAGTCTCCCAGAGGTCCCCAGCAGGACTGAACATGAGCCGCCCATACCTGGAACTGCCTCTTAATTTCCCTCTATTGGTGTCCTTCCCTTTTCTGCCTCACCTCCCCACTTCTTCACCAGTGTTTCTATGGGTTGGTCGCCTCCTAAATAAATTACTTGAATTCAATTCTTCCTTTCAGGTTCTGCTCTGGAAGAATGCAACATAAACCACCCCAACCAAAGACACCCAATGCAACCAGCGATGGCGATCTCCACTGGTACTGATTTGTACACATCTCTGGAGCACAAGCCTAATGTAACAGGATACATTAGGCACTGCCCTTGCCCTAGTAGCGAAGTCACAGGTATAACTACTGGGCCAATACACAAAGCAGTATGAAGGATGTGATTTGTCTGGGATGTGATTATCAGGGAAGGCTTCAGAATGGAGTTGACATCTGAAGTTTTGAAGGGTGAATAGGAGTTCTCTAGGTTGACAAGAGAAAGATGAAAACAGCATATTAAAAAACCCAGAGGTATAAAAAGGCACAGTGTCCAGGGAGCTACTAGTAGTTGAGTAGTATCTCCCATGTTGCTAAAAAATGAAACAAATTTTGGAGGCAGGAAAGGGTTTGTAGGAAGAGTGAGGAGAGAATTAGAATAGGAAGAGATGTGGTTAAATAGGCAAGCAGGGTCTTATCTGTACTACTGAAGTGGTTAGATATTATCTTGGAAAGATTGGAGGATTCTAAGAAATTGTGGGTTATCTTCTGATTGCCTAAGTATCAAAAGCTCATTGTAGAAAAGTTGGCAGATAAGGAGAATTATAAAGAAGAAGATAAAATGAAACCTCAAATCCAGGGTTAATTAAATCATGTTGACATGTTGCTGTCTCTCAGAGGAGTTTTAGACAGAAGAGCGAGGTGATCAGACTTGACTTTTACAAGGAGCCCTGGCAGCTGGTGAATACCATGTGGCTGGAAGCTCACAGCTAGGAGGCTGTGGCGGTGAAGGTGACGGGGTCTTCTGTGGGGACGCTGAGGCCTCCCAGGGCCTGGGAGCTTCAGGACCAGTTGGGTGGAGCATGGCGGAGAGGAGAGGAGGGCAATGTGATTACTAGGGCGATTCCCAATGTTTATATCCATGAATTGGTGAAGGGGACAGGGGCTGGGAGCCAGGAGACCTGGGTTCCCATCTCAACTTTGTCACTTGCCACCTGTGGGACCTCAGACAGATGCCTGGAATCCTCAGAGCCACAGCTTCCTGACCTGAAAACTGGAAAGATGATTCCACTCCTGCTTTCCTCACAGGCTTGTCAAAATGTCCCATGGGTCAAAGGAGATTAACATCCTTGATGGATGGGAGCCTGTGGTTCCAGGTTCTCCTTTGCTCATTCCTTTCCCTGATCTTCTTCCTCCAATCATCAGCTCCCAGAAGGCCAGGACAGACAACCCCCCCCCACCCCCAGTTTTCCCTTCCTCTCCTCTCTGCATCCTTCACAAAGGACATTTGTCATCCTGGACCCTCTGGTGAAAAATGCTCTAAACACCCCCCTGCACCCCTATTAATTCATGCACTTTGAATGAATCTGTGGGGAGCCCACATATCACCTTCTCATCCGAGATAATGCATTTATTTATTATGTTTGTTGTTTTCCCCGTCTCCCCCTGACAGAATGTAAATTCCATCATGTCGGGGATTTTTGAGCAAGTTGTCCACTTATGCGTCCCCAGCGCCTAGAACCGTGCCTGGCACATAGCAAGCATATGTAGGAACAAACGAATGAAGGGGTGAATGAACGACAGTCCTCAGCCTCATAGAACAGAGGTCACGACCTTCCAATTGCTAGCCTGCCCATAACAGCGATGATGTATTAGTAAGGGCTGGGCTGTGACTTTTCCATTCACGCCAGCCAAACAAAACCCACCCAATGGCCTGCCAGCATCAGCTTGGCGTCCTTGGCACTGAGCAGAACGTTCCCATTTTGTTGATGGAGCAACTCTAGCAGGGTAGTTTAAGAGGCCTGATGCGGAGGACAGAGCAGGTACTGAGCCGGGCCATTTGCTCTCCCCAGTCTTTCCCCGGCCCCCTCTCAGGAGTTACTCAGCCCCTAGTTCTGGAGTTCCGCTCCCTTCGCGTAGTCGGAGATCCGAGCTTGGTGCCCCAAACGCTGCGTCTGGTGCTCCCGTGCTTGCTGGGAAGGGAATGCGCGCCTGAGTTCCGCGAGTCGCCGGGAGCGAGGCCGCCACCCCCGGAGTCCGAGCCGCGCCCCCACCCCTGCCCATCCCCGGCCGCACTGTCACTCTCCATTAGTGCTAACAGGCTCCAGACGGAGCGGGCCCGGCGCTGGGTTAATGCAATCGGCGCGTTACCTGGGGCGCAGGCTACATTACCAGCCCGGCCCCCGCCCGGCGCTGCCAGAACCAGCCAGCCCGCACCCCGCCGGCCGCCCCACGCCTCCAGCGCTCCTTGGGCCGCGCCCGAGCGCCACGCGGCGGAGCCCAGCTCCAGCCTGCGCCCCCATAGCCTGGCAAGGCGAGGCGGGTCCCCGGCGGGCAGGGCGCAAGGCATCAGGGATCCCACTGCTGCCGGACAAGTGAGTGCGCCCTGCGCGCGGGACCCAGCTAGATGGGCCAAGGAGGCCGAGGCTGAGGCATGCAGAGCTAGAGTGACAGCGACTTTGAAGTGCAGAGGTGTACACGTCCGGGGAGGCTCCTGGGGTTGTTGGAGGTGGCACAGACCCGAGCTGGGGGGAGAGAGCAGACAGCTGCCCTGGTCCAAGTAACCGCCCTGGGAAACCTGACTCGGCGCGTCCAAGTGAGATCATTTGGGACTAAAAGTCAGCTGCCGAATGAGGGAAGCGCTACCAGGTCCCAAGCTGGACCTACAGGGAGGGCAGGGGCGGTCTCTGCTTCTAAGTTCTGTCTCAGTCCCGGCGCGCCGCTACCTGTTTTCAAATCGTTCCAACAGACGCGCGCCTTTTGCTGGGAACCTTGTGTCCGCTCAGCGCGCGCTGACCGGGTATCCCTGGTGATCTCGGAAGGCGCAAGCAGGGCGGAATGGCCCAGTGACTACACCTTTTCCTTTTATCCAAGCAGAGCCTCGGCGTGCTCCCAGTACCGCTGACGTCCCTCCCGCCAGCCGCACCCATGCTGCTGGCGCGGATGAACCCGCAGGTGCAGCCGGAGAACAGCGGGACGGACCCGGAGTCCGAGCAGCCCCTGCGGGCGCGCAAAACTGCGGAGCTGTTGGTGGTGAAAGAGCGCAACGGCGTCCAGTGCCTCCTGGCGTCCCGCGACAGCGAAGAGCAGCCCCGGGAGACCTGGGGCAAGAAGATAGACTTCTTGCTGTCGGTGGTGGGTTTTGCGGTGGACCTGGCCAACGTGTGGCGCTTCCCTTACCTCTGCTACAAGAACGGCGGCGGTGAGCCTCCGGATGGGCTGCGGGCTTGGTCTTGGGAGGCTGCCTGTCCCCAGCGGTGGCGGGAAGAGGAGCTGGGATACACACGGGAGAAGAGGAAGCACGCGGGGCAAGTCTGGGGCTCAGGAAGGGACTGGACAGGGCTCAGGAAGGGACTGGACAGGGCTCAGGGAAAAGGCATTGCAGTCCCCTGTGGAAGAGGGGAATGGAGGCATGAACTTGGACAGTGATAAGCGCATGGGTGGAAGGACAGAATCGGAGGCACCAGGCTGGGTGAGGGGCCCTGAACTTTGGCGATTCACAGGAAGGGAGGTGGCGATTTGGAGAGCTCTGGAGGGGGCAGCAAAAGTGCACGGGAGGTGACAACCAGGTACAGGGTGTCCCTAAACTCAGTTTATAGAGGACTCGGGTTCCCTGAGAGCACTTGGAAAGCCCTGTATTCTTGGGGACACAGACGCTGGAACAGAGACACACAAAGGGAAGCGAGTGTCAGAGAGAACTCCACTCCCAGTTGGCACTGTTTCGCTGGAGGGACCAGAGCACACAGCCTAGGTGGGATTGGTTCTGTAGGTCTGAGGGCTGGCCTGGTCCTGGAGGCAGGAGGCCTGGGTGATTGGGACAGGGCCTCCACCTCCTGGGATCCTGGCCACATGGCAGAGTGGAGCGGATTGGGGCCTGGAAAAGACTCCAGTCTAGGAGCCAGGCTCTCTCCCTCTCCCCCTGCTGGGTGACAGATTACCCATCTACCCTGGGATGAGAGCCTGGAGATCAGCTACAGCCCAACCAGGTGGCCAAGTACTGCGGGAAGCAGCGCCGAGAATGGGATATTTGGGTCTTAAGGCCCTAGCTCCTTTCTGAGGGTCTCTGCTCCTGGGTGCCCAAACCACCCAGTCCTGCCCCTTTTGCTGGGATGAGCTCAGGGGTACCCTGCAGGCAGCCTAGGAAAACTGACCTAGAAGGAGTTGCTGAGGGAGGCCCAGCTCTGGAATCCACTCTGTATCCACTGGACCATCCTGCCTGGCAGGGCACCTGGCTCAGGACTCCAGGGGGTCAGAGGGAGACAGGGCCAGGGTTTGGAGCTGGGTGAAGGGAAGGCTCACGCCCTTGTCCCATAGAGTCTGGGGCCCAGCTGCTGGCTTCCGTGTATGCTCTAGACATGCGCTCCTGTCTTTGGGTAAGAAGTGGGAATGTGAGCCAGAGGTGACACTTGCACGTTTGGCTAATGTAGCTTCTCAAGAGCTTCTGGTCAGGCTTAAGCGTTCTGACCCTTTGCACCCAAGGAGGGAAGAAATGAGAGGTTCTACGTAATTTTAGCAGGCAGGCAGATAATAAACGAAAGATAGACTGGACACACCATCCCAGCTGTCCTCTGTGACTGCCCGAGACTGCTTGTCCCTACGCAACGGAAAGCTTCACTAATTAGCCCTATTTATCGGGTTCCTCTCGGCGTGAGGCCCAATGCTAGGCTCTGCAGGGGTCACCTAGATGTATGAACCACCCCATCTGCCTGCCAGGAGCTTTAGTCACCTAAGGGCTTCATTGTCACGCTGCTACAAGTCATTTCCATCGTTATAAGTGTTTGTTGAAACTAAAAGTGCCCCAGATGGCCAAATAGACCCACCAGCTAGACGGATGTTCTGGAGCTATTGCTGGTACCATGTGCTCACTTGGCCATTGCCACTAACACAGATCGAGAGCGCCTGCTGTATGCGAGGTCACACGCCAGGCGCCCAGGGCACACAACAGAGCAAATTGGCCACAGTTTTCCATTTTTAAGCGAAGTTGGCTGGAAGCGCCGTGTCCTGGGCTTGCTAGCCCTGCATGTAGCCTGTCCCCAGTTGCTGGGTCATGTGTCTCTTCATGGGTCTGTCTCCCAAACAGGCTGGGGCACCTTGAGAGCAGAGACTGTGGCTTTTTCATCCCTGTATTTCTAATGTCCAAGATAAAGCTTAGGTCCTAGGAAGGTGGTAGAAGGTGCTCAAAATACTTGAAACTTGAAATGGCCCAAACCCTCAAAGATCTAATGCCCCTCAGGAAACTGGCAGAACCCCTGGTGGTAACTAACAAAGTGAGGCGCCTGCGCCGTGGGGGCGGGGCTGGCAGCCTGGAGGTCAAGAGCCTTGGCGGTGGAGTCCTGGGCTCCAACTTCCAGCTGTGTGACTTCAGGTGACTCGCCAAGCCTCAGTTTCCTCATCTGTCCAATGGAAATAATGGTGTTCAACTCAGTGGCTTGTTGTGAGGACTAAATGCGACTGTGCCCATGGAGAGCCTGGCCTGGAGGATGGCCTAGCAAAGGAAGCTGCTTCTCAACCTGACGACGTGTGAAACAGATGGGGGAGGGAACAAGCCGTCTAAAGGCGTGTGGAGGGTGCCGCTTAGGAAAGACGTGGAGAAGGTGGGCTGGGATTGGAGCTCAGACGGGAGGAGTACGGACAAGCCTCGGGATGAAAGGCGGTCTTCTATTTATGCCAGAATACACGTGGAATTACCTCAGAGGCTAGGCGTGGAGGCTGAAGGGAAAGCTAGGAGAGGCAAGTGGGGGCCGGGCCGTGGGCACCTTGAACGCCAGGCGAAGGGGTGGGGAAGTGTCAGCAGTGAATTTCCACTTCTGGCTAGGATGTCCATGGTTGGCACAACGGAGCAGTGCGGCCCCCATCTCAGTCTGAGGCAGCTTTTCTGTCTAATTTGCTCCTCAGGCCTCTGGGGGATGTTCAGCGAGCCCCTTCTGGGCGTTATCTCTGCTGAGACATTCAGGCTGCTCTTTGTGGACCAGTTCTTATCCAGTGATTCTGGAGTCAGCCCCAGAGATGGGCAAGTAGGCTAGCAGGTGGGGATTATGGAAGCAGCCCAAAGACCCAAATTCAAATCCCAGCTCTGTTACCCCTGGCGGTGGCACAGCCCGTCTCTGAGCCCAAGTTCCTCCCTATAGCTAGAGGTGAGCTTAGATGACCCCTAAGATCCATCCCTCTCCTGGCCCAGTACTGCGCTCAAGCCAAGACTCACTGCCCTACTATCTAACAGCCTGTGTGCTCTCCTGGGACCAGTATTGACATGGTAACCTCCAAGTCCAGCTCACATCGTCCCAGACTGGAGGGTGTTGAAAAATTATCGAGGTGCTAATAGTGTAGGCCCCCGGCTAGTGTTTTCTGAATGAATTACTGGGAAGGGTCAGCCTGTCTGAACATCTTCCCGTGGGCCAGCTGCTTGGATGCATGGGTGCAAGAGGCTTCCTTTTCGAGAAGCCACCTTTCGAGAAATTCCAGGGCTTCCTTCAGAATCCTGTCACACAGGGAGGCAGTGCCAGGCAGTGGGGCTGTTTCTGGGGTTCTAGATTTTCAATCTACACCTGTGGTCTTGGGCGTGGCCCATGCTGATCCCCGGGGAGGCGTGAGTCCCTTTGTCTTCCTCCCTGCTGGGGGAGAGGCCACTGTGAATTATCCTTTACAAATGGCTGCTTCTGTTTGAGATGTGACCTGCTGACAGCTAACCCTGAGCTGTCAGAGGCAAGGCCTTTCCGTTCCCACAGACCTGGGTTTAAACCTGGGCTTGACATTTCTGGGAATTGTGGCCTTGGACAAGTCACTCATCCTCACTGGGCCTCAGTTTCCTTGGGCAGACATGGAGAATAACTGTACCTTCCTTCAGGGTGACATGACATTATAGGGAATATATGCGAGGACTCAAAATAATGCCACAGAGCAGGCGCTCAGTAAATGGAGTTATTACCATTGTTTGTATTGTTCAATGACTTTTTTAAACCATGGGCTAGACCTAGGAGTCAGGCAGGGTCCTGATTTTTGGGAGGAACAGAACTGACTCTAAGAGGAAATTGATAAAGGAAAATAGGGCCAGAAGTCGTCATGCTTGTGTGTGGGGAGTCAAGAGGCGAGTGTCACTCCATATTCTGACAGCCTAACCTTGTCTCACTGTAGTTTCCTCACCTAGAGAATGGGGATCAATATGCATCCATTTTCATGGGGTCCCATGTGGTTCTGGGTCCCAAATGGGGTTTCCCTCTTTCCCCAGGTAAGCTCAGGGTCTCAGGTACCCATAGCCATTTAGAAACCCTCTTGGCCAAAATAGCTGGGGTTTGTTGAGACAACGTAGGAGGTCATGGCTGGGATGGAGGGCAGCAGTTGCGAACTCAGTACCCTCGCATCTGGCCTGGCTGGAAGGGGGCTGTCTACACCCCAGGCTTGCTAAGCCACGTTCAGCCCAGATGCACATGAGCCAGCCAGCTGGTGTGGCCCTTCAGCGGACAAGTTGCAGGAAGGAGGTGCTCATCAGGGGCTGGAGCTGAGACCTGGATCTGAGGTCACCAGCATGGTTTGGCCCGTTGCTCGTGAGCTGGCCGAAAAGATCTAGAGGGGCTGTTTCCAGTAAGATGGGGTTTCATAGGGATAAATGTTACATCCTGCCCTGCGGTCCCAAACCCAACTGCCTAAGTCAGGATTAGGTCACAGCATGAGTGGGGAAAGGCCCCGGGGAGTTCTCTAGCTGCATTCTCTGTGTGACTCACCACTGGGATCCACTTATTTAACCAAAAAACATGTACTAAACGCCTGTCATATGGCAGGAATGCCAACATGAGCAAAAGGCAAGCCCTGCCTTTAGGGAGCTCATAGTCAGTTGTAGATACCCTAAAAGTTAATGTCAGTTTAGAGTGGAAGGGTGCTAGGGTACACTGAGGTGACAGGGACCCTGAGGCCAGTGGGCAGGGCCTACAGTGGCTGTTGAGGACCCCAAGGAGAAGATCAGTCTTGGGGAGGAGACACGAGTTGGCACCACATGGCTCCGGGTGGACAAACTTGAATGATCGGGGCTTGGTTTATTATAGGAACTGGAGTGTTTTCCTATAGAAATGGGCACAGGAAGCCAGCCGTTTAACTGGCAAAGACTCAGAGGGGGACCCTACACCTGACACTGAGGCACAAAGAGCTGCTTTGGAAAAGCCTGATTTGGCTTGTTGTCCGTGGCACTGAGGACAGAACGGGGGCGTAGGT